TTAAAGTTCCGTATTTCATGGATGAAGCTTTGAAGTGAATTTTAAGGCAGAAGCTCCTGGTCATCTCTTCCAGTTCGTAAGGTGCCTTCGTCCAAATGTGTTATTTACACTGTTTCGGTGTATTGAATTTTTGGATGATGTCTTAATTAATATAGACTATATTGTTGTCACTGATTCACATCTTTTTTCAAGTCGGTTTGTCAAAAAAAAAGAAAAAAAAAAGATCCAACCCATGAAATTTTGCAAATGGAAATGTTATGATTTGCTGCAAATTTTTATCACGGACTTTGCATTCACTGATGCTGGGCTGTGGTAGTAATTTATCTTCTGTGTGGTCCAAAAGATTCCTGGTAGGTTGATATCTCAACTATCCAAAAGGATCACTGTTTTATATTCGTTTTTCATCTTGTCAGCTTGCTGCTTTAGGTTCTCCATAGACACTTAGTCACTAGTAGGTTGCCGATGGTTACAATGAGTGATTCATATTTTCTGAAGTAAAATTTGCTATCTAAATTAACTTTTTAGCTAATGTTCTCTGATCTAACAACCAACCAACTCTCCTCCATAACCCTCACTCCCGTCTTATCTGTAAACGTTAAAGCCATCTCGGAAAGTTTCAGAGCTACATACAAGTATACTACTGCGTAACCATGTATCTGTATCGATTATAGAATTTGGTTTTTAGGAATAAATGACTATCGCGAATTCCAAATTTTTTGTTGTTGTTAGCATTCTGAGGGTAGAATATAATCTTTTTTTCCTTGGCTTATTCTTTTTCTTCATAATATCAATATCGCTTGACTTTAATGGTGAAGAAGTAGAAGCCGAAATTTTTGGTCGAAAAAGAGCTGTTCTAGTCTGATAGAGGTTCAAAATTATTTGATGAAGAATTTAGAAGAAACGAGTCAAAATGATGTAGAGAAATTATAGATTTCATGTGTTATGCAGTGCCCTGTTATGTTGGATGATGATAATATTCCATTGTTCTAGAGCCGGGGTCGGTTTCAACATCTGAAGAGTTTGTCAATATCAACAGGACTACGTATAGTGTGTTGGATACGATGCTTGATGAATTAGATACACTGCAAGTTACTATGTCTTATCATATTTACATTAAGAGAATTAAGTGCTTTAACTTTTTCTAATCTTGCACTAAGTTTAATTGGAATCAAACTAAACTATGAGAGTATCAATCTTTATTTTAAATTTCGTATTTTTATTTTAAACCATGCCCAAATAGTTAAAGGAGTATTATTAGTCCCTTGCCGGTGAAACCGATGGAAACAATATGTTTCATCCCCGATCGTCTATCTGTCTGTCCCTCCGTCTGTCAGTCTCTCCCACTTGGTTTTCCGCACTATTTTCTAAACGCTTGCAGATATTGAGCAGCTTTTTGGTGCGTGAGTGTATCTTGATAAGTTACAGACCAAGTTTACATTTCTTTCCACTTCAATGATTTTTGACGGAATTAGGGCATTTTTAATTTTTAAGGGTTTTCCGCGTTTTTTTTTTTCTAAATGCTTGCAGATATTAAGCTGGTGTTTGGTATGCGAGTTTACCTTGATGAGTTATAGATTAGTTTCGTTTCAATGAATTACGGCATTTTTAATTGGAACCAGATTACATTTGCCTGCAGGGGATTAGTATTGATAAATACTCTCAGAATACTTGTTTTGAAAGACTTTTTCACGTTATTCCAGCAATGGCAACATAATGTACTAAAATCAACAAATGATACACAAAATTGTGAAAACTTGCATCAGTATACTTGTGTTTTAAGTTTTGTACAAATCAGAACATCTCAACAAAAGCCTTCGAACAGAATTTTAAGTAACCATGACAACACTTTTCAAAAAATCCATAAATAGAAATATATATATCGAGATATAGTCTCTCTGCGTACCAAGATTTGTTGAATGAAAAAGATGAAGATAAAAATCGACATATTGCATTGTTGGATCTTGATGTAGTACAACTGTGTACCAAGTTTTACTGAAATGGGACCGCGTTACCAAACACTGTAGCAATTACAATTCCGTCATTGCATACATTGACAAGACAGCATTTTCCTGATTCATATCCTTTCAATGCTAGAAGATTGTTTAAAATTAGCTCTGATACTCCAACTTACAGGCGATCTGTCCCTGACGAGTCTTACAATAATATAGCAATGTAAGGGAGACATGATCTGTTCGAACAACAAACTTTACCTCGCCTATGTCTAAGCTTCCGGGTGAAGGTAAAATGGCAAGAAGTTCCTTTCTTGTCGCTCGATACTTGTTTTGAAAAGGTCAAACAGGTTTACCTGAATAGCTAATCACATCTCTACCCAGAATAAAGATTCCATTACTCATTGAGTAAGCCAGTTTAGGTGGTGATAGCAGCTTTGCTTTCAGTGAGGTAAATGCTTACTGCTGATGACATCCCCATTCAAAATACATTTCTTAGTGATCTGGGAGATTAGGTCTGCAATCGCTGTATGTTTATCAACAAACCAGTAGTAGGTTGTATGATCAAAAAAAGACCGTGTCTTTAACAGTTTCAGTTTTTTTAGTTGCTTGTTTTTGTGCTTACCTCCCTTCGATAATTTTTTGCTCATATTGCGACACCACCATTTGCCGCAAAGTTGACCTGTATATTCACTGAGCAGTGAAGGAGCTTTTTTGTGTGACAGCGGCTACTGCGACATGGGATCTCATTTTATACGGAGGACTGGTCCACTTCCCGCAGTAGGATTCTAGCCTGCAACTTAAGGATTAATTCTTAAGGCTTACACAGCAAATCTAGAGCGAATCACTCTAAACACTGCACCACTCGGGCGACTTAACAGTTTCAGGTACCGATCTATAGTTGAGGAAATGGTTACTCTTGTCACGTCATTCTTCAGTGTTTGATAAGGGTTAAGAGTCCTTTTTGCGTGAAGATATATTTAACTTTCCAAAGTCAACACACCATCTGAGGCCACCATTTGTTTTCCTTACCAATACCTCAGAAGATGCCGAGTCAAATTTGGAAGGGACCATTATATCACTGTAAAGAAAAATTTGTAGATCTTGCTTTTCTTAACCTCGGAATATTAACTATGTGCGCCGAACAGGTTGATTAACAGGCAAGTAATAATGTAATAGAATATTGAAAAGGGACATCCAACTTCATGGGCATTCTTTGGAAAACATCTTGATACTAGCATTCTACAAGTACAAGTATTGTTTTTTTTTCAAAAGCTTGCCGTCTTTAACAACAATCTTAAACAGTAAACTGGCATTCATCTATCAGGCCGTATTATTTTTTAGTTGTTCTTGGCTTTGTATTTCGTCAACAGTTTTGTTACAGACAAACCTTTTTTCATTGAAAAAGAAAAAAAAAAGTAATCTGTCCTTGATCATCTTGAAAATAAATAATCTCTCCTTGATTGGCATAAAAATAAATGATGGGACTCGAAAAATTTTGCCACCCCCCCCCCCTTTTCAGAATCAAATGGTCGTCGCCCTACCGTAGAAAAGAAAGCAAAAACAAAGCAAGAAAAAAGGATTAATACAAATTTTAATGTTTACACTCAATTTCTGTTAACCATTAAAATTCAAGAAAAACATTTTTTAATATTTGCTATAAAAATTTGAATTATTGGTTTTTTTGGTTCGTTTTGTCGATTTTTTTTAAGACTGAAAATCTAGAAAAATTGTTAAGTCGTACGAAAATTAGATCACCAGAAAATTATCTCCCTTGTCGTGAACAGCAATAATTTACTACCAATCATAAAATAGAGGAAGTGCAAAGTCCGAAGACTTCAGGTAACAAGTAAACCTGTTTTTTTCTGTAGACTAGGGATCTGTGCAGTTCGACTACCACTGCTAGATGATCTGGAACTTAAAGCTGAACACGATTCGTAAAAGAAATTTGTCCGCCATATTTGATTGGACTTTCCCTATATCTGAGGGCCCCTATATATAGAGCCGCTCACTTAGTTACTGGTCTGTGAAATCAATCGTCACCGGTGTAGAAGGATGTATGCTATATAGCACTCGGCAGCGACAAAAATAACTGTTTACTTCTAATGCAGGATAGTAAGATGCCAAAGGGACTTACAACAGTTGCACAGTATACAAACAAACACAAATACACGTAACTGCAATAAAATGTAAACAAAGGTAATGGAAGATAACCAGCACGAACACGGGGCGCCATTCCACGCCGATACCCGTGACAATATCTTAAGTGAGATCTCGCGAGAAGTGACGAGATTAGTAGAACTTGTCACATTCGTGGTTTGGCTGCCGTAGAGAGCGGTCGGTACCGCGAACTTTCTATTTGCTTCGACGTTTCCACGCCCCTGCTGTAGGTGAGTTTTTAAAATTTATTTTATGTGGCAATGGAATAGGTTTAGCCTATAGGATTGCACATTTTATGCTAGTTGTTCGGCAGTGGCCGTGTACATGTAATATTGTGTAATTTTGTGGCAATGGAATAGATTCGGTCTATAGGATTGCACGCTTTTCTGAAGTTTTTTAACGGCAGTGGCCATGTGATTTTATGTATGGAGATTGTGGCAATGGAATAGGTTTAGCCTATAGGATTGCGCAATGTTGTTTTTATTGAACGAGAGATTGAGAGAAAAAAAAAATAAGAAGAAATGCGATATTTAATTGTAAGGGTAACGCTATTAATATTGTTGATAGTGGACACTGGTCAAGTGTTGGGGAGTATTTTGGAATTCTTGTAGAATTTTATGATATTTACAAGTATTTATTTGCTGGATATATGGAGTGCTTTGTCTGTAAAATTTGTAATTTTCTGAAGACTTGAGCTTGAGCTTTCGGTGCGGATTGCACGTGCTATGCCAGAGTTCGGTTCATTGTATAAGGGTGACCCAGTCTTAAGCAGTTATTATAGGAAGGGCTACACATTGGGTACACAAAATATGTTTTTGTGTTAGATTGCTATTAGTAGTATGTTTTGTTAGTTAGCATTTTATATCAATCTATATCCTTAAATTTTATAGGATGAGTGTACTTAAACCAAAACATTCCCTAGTTGGGAAATCATTGGTACCAGTGATATTGAAATTCAAAGCACAAGAAGATAGAATTGAGGAGTGTGACCTGAACAGATTGAAAAAAGGGCATTCTTTAACCAGGTATTGGTATAGTAAATAATTGGTTTTAATTATGCATATTGAATTTTGTATTCAGTTGCTTGTAAGGTTATGGTTTATATTTATGTAGATATAATCAGGATGAGTTGAGATCTGAGTTTGAAGGACTTACAGGAGAGAACCCAAGAGACATTTTGCTCCTGGCAGGGAGGGAAGAGGATTTTGATAGTCTGGTTATCTTGATGCATTTTGCTATTGCACATGCGAATCTGGCGGGGGCACCAAAAGGTCAAAGTCTAGTGCAAACTTCCACTTCTGAAGCTTATCAAACGGTGGCTCCTGTTAATATTAGTGGAGCTGTGGCCCCATCTAGCTCAGCTGCTACTGCTTCTACTAGCTCATCTGTGGCCGCAACATCTAGTGTTTCTCGGGCATCAGGTAATATTTTAATACCTTACTTTGTAAGACTTTATGGAATATGGGAGGTGTATATATTTTGCATATGAGGTATATTGAGAAAACTTAGAATTATATTTTTGTATATCTTTAGGTGACAAGAATATGGAAACCAGATTGAGGGATATAGAGAAGAAGATGGAATCCATAAAAGAGAAATCAGGGGAGGATCAGGTAGAGGAGTGTTTAAGACAAGTTCGGATTTTGGCTGGTCGTCCTAATCTTACGCAGGCGCATGTCCTCTTGGCTGCTTTGGAAACACTTGTTGATGTGGCATTTAGAAACTCTCATAAAGATGCTGATTTTTATTCAAAAGCATTTACACATTGTAAAAAGTATGAAAATTCTAAAGATTTATGTGGGCTTACTATGAAGTTATTTGGTTCAGCTGAGGATAAGAAAATTGCTAATGTTGTAGCTGATTGGCTTAAGGGGAAGAAGTATGAAGGGTCCGGGGTAGCTGAGGAAAAAGAGAATGTTGGGCAAAATAATTACAAAAATTTGGGAGATTTGTCAGGAATGCAGGCTAATCCTTATCCTTATGTACCATTGATGGGACAGCCACAGTTCCCCTTTTCACCTTATCCCATGCCATATTCTGGGTACCCTGCCCAGGGTTTTGGGTTCCCTCGTCCTTCAGGTAGAGGTATGGGTGTGCGCCCTCGCAGGGGAAGATGTTTGTTTTGTAAAGACTTGGGACATTTTATAGCTGATTGTCCAAAAATGAAAAATAAAATAATTGTTTTGGATACAAAGCCTTCAACTCGGGGGTTTCTAATGCCCTTTGTGATTATTCACATGAGTTGAGGGTTGAGTATCCTCTGTAATTAACTTATTAGCATCCTTCTTTTATTCATTTTGATTTCAGAATGAAGTGTTTGTTAAGAAGCCAAAATTTTGTCCTGTTATACCAGATTGGGAATTGAACTCCGGTTTTGATCCAGAATGTATTGTTCAAAGAGAAAAGGATGAAAAATGGGTTAATTACAGGGGTGAGAATGCTCAACCCTCAATTTGTGTGACTGCTGAAGACGTTGCTAAGAAAAATGTAGAATTTAATTTTGAAAATTTAAGATTTCGAGATCCTAATTATTTTTTACCGGGAAATTTGCATTCATATTTGCATGAGTGGGAAAATATAGATGCCCCAGATAATGTTCTTGAATGGTTAAAGGAAGAGATTGATGTAAAAAAGTTTTTAAAACCTTTTAATGGAAATTTTAAGGGCAAGAGTTACAGTTCAAAGGTTCCACCCTCAGTTTATTTTCCAAATTCTAACTTGTGTGAACAATTCAAAGATTTTATTGTAAAAACATTGTATGAAAGGTTAGAAAATGGATCCGTTACACTGGTTGGGAAGGTTGGTTTTTGTGAGCCACCTCATTTGGTTTTGCCTCTTACAGTGGAACCTACAAAACCACGTTTGTGCCATGATGAAAGATTTTTGAATCTCTGGGTGAAGGATTGTCCTTTCTCTTTAGATACTTTGAAAGATGTTCCACGCTTAGTTCAGAGAGGTATGTTTATGTCTAGTATTGATGACAAGTCGGGATATGATCATATTTGTTTGAGTGAGAAATCTAGAACATATTTTGGATTGCAGTTTGGAGGTTGGTTTATGGTATTTAATACTCTACCATTTGGTTTCAAAGCAAGTGCTTTTATTTATCAAAGTACAGGCATGGTAGCTACGAGTTGGTGTAGGTCTTTAGGTGTACCATGTTTGCAATATATTGATGATAAGTGGATTGGGGGATTTTTGCAGTCTCTTTTTCATGGCCCCAAAGTTCCTCCAGATGACTGTCAGGTGGCAGATAAGGCATTATACATTGTATGTCAAGTTATGATAAGATTAGGATATTTTCTCAATATTACAAAGTCAGTCTTGGCTCCAGTGAAATGTTTAAAATTTTTAGGGATGTTGGTAGACTCTGAGAGATTGGCATTTATAATTCCGGATGAGAAAAAAGGGAAGTTTATTAAGTTGAGAGAGAGTATCTTAGATTGTGATAAGATGAGTATTCTTACTTTGCAAAAGTTTGCTGGCAAATGTGTATCTTTTATGTTAGCATTTCCAGGGGCTAAGTTGTATACAAAGGAAGTAAACAGAGCAATAGGTTTAGCAGCGAAGAGAAGTGGATTCGTGCATATGACGAATGAGTTAAGACAGGAAATTTTGTATTGGAGATTTATAGATAATTGGAATGGTTGTTTTTCTTGGAGGACTGAGAAGCATTTACAAATCACATTGGCTTCAGATGCATCTAAGTTTAAATGGGGGGCCTTGGTAGATGTTGAGGGTCGACAGTTAGTATGCTCAGATTACTGGAGTAATGAGGATGATAGGCCCATTCATATAAAAGAGGCTCAGGCCTTGTTCAATGCTCTATGTTCAGTAAAGGAGGTGGTTAAAAATCATAGGGTAGATGCATATGTAGATAATTTAGCTTGTGTGTATGGTTGGGAAAGTATGAGTGGGAAAGATCCTGTTTTAAACAGAATCATGAAAGGTTTGTGGAATTTCAGTGTGGATAATAATATTGATTTACACTTGTTGTATGTGAGATCCGAAGAAAACCCAGCAGATTGTCATTCTAGAAAGTTGTCAGCATTGGATTGTATGTTAACTGGTAAAAAATTTCAGATCATTGAAAAAAGATTTGGTCCGCATTCAGTTGATCTAATGTCCCTTGATTCTAACTGCATGGTAAGCATAGTAAATGGGAATCCTTTAAGGCATTTCACACCGTACCCCACACCATTGTCTGCTGGTGTAAATGTATTTTCTCAGGATATAGCATTAGAGAAAAATCCATATGTATTTCCGCCATTTAGGCTTATTCTCCCTCTAATTGTATATCTAAAAAATCAGGGTGTTGAAGCTTGTACAATGGTTGTTCCTGGGTTATCGCCAATCCCAGTTTGGTGGCCTTTGGTCAGTCAGTATGCAATGGATAGGTTTGTACTCGGTAGAAAAGGGGAAAAGGGTGTGCTTTTATTCCCTTCAAAATCTGGGTTTTCTGAAGCAAAGCATGGATTATTGTATGATTTAATTGTGGTCAGGCTAGTTTTTCATAAGTAAATTAAGTTTCGTTGTATTTTCAGGAAGTTCTGGTCAGTGAAGTGGATACTCAGTATTGTGGTGTTGCGCAGAAGAACTGTTTGATGCAATATTCTGTAGAAAGGCGCATTGCTTATCTGAACAATTTACTAGATTCTAAGGCATACTGTAAAAAAAAGTTAGCTCTAAAGGTTGATTTTGAAACGGTAATTGGGAAAAAAATTTTCGAAGCAACTCCAGAAGATTTAAGATTATTTCTTATTAGAAAAGACAAAGTGGGTAGGACTCGAGTTCATGATTTAACTTGTCCGTTTCTTGGTATTGCAAGTGCAAATTCATGTTTTTGTCCAGTGCGTTTGGCAGCAGGGACAGTCTCTTCTTTCATCGCACAATTTAAGGCAATGTTTAATGAGATAGGTAGGGTTGAACCTTGGGATAGTACAAGACATTTGGAAAGGTGTAATCCAGCAGATAGTGTTCTCTTAAGGAGGTATGTGGATGCAGTAAAATTAGAACAAGCAATGTCTCATGTGTCTTCAAAACAGGCCAAACCTATATTTCTTAATAAGCTGGAGAAATTGAGTTTGTATTTAAATAATCAGTTGTTAAGAACAGATCTTAGTGTGGGAAATAGATATGTTTGTTTGCGAGATCAAGCCTTCTTTAAGGTTTTGTTCTATTCTGGTGATCGTGCTAATGATTTGGCATTGTGTTTATCTCAGGAGGTAAAGAAGCTTTCAGATGAGAAGGGTTATTTGTTAAGCCATACTATTGGGAAAACCCTAGGTAATGGTCATGTAAATGAATTTGTGCTACCTAAGGTTCAAAATCAGGTCATTTGTCCTGTGGAAGGTTTGAGGAAATATATAGAAGGATCAAGGGAGATGGGTGTTGATTTGAGGACAGGCTACTTGTTTCGGTCATTGGATTCATCAAGGACTTTAGCTCTAGACAATCGTGTAACGACTTCAGCAATGTCTGATAGATTGAAAAAATATCTTATTTCTTTGGATATTTACGAAGGGGAAACGACACATAGTTTTAGGGCAGGTTGTGGTATTACCCTGATGACAAATAACACAACCTCTTCAGAAGAAATTATGGAACATGTTGGTTGGCGAAGTCGACAATCATTTAACAGATATTCTAGGATCAATAGGATAGTGGGGACAACTGGGGTGGCTGACATGTTAGCAAAGGTATCAGTTCTGAAAGATGGGGACGTTAATGTTATTTATGACAAATTTGGGGACTATTCTAGACTTCCACAAGCTTTCCAGTTTGATTAGAGGGTTGGGAGGAAAGTCATTTATATTGAAAATAATGATTATTGGGATCCCAGTGTATTACTGTGGTGTACTTTGCATTGTATGTACTGATTAATGCTTGTTAATTTCAATAAAGGATTTGTTAAAATGTTATTTATTATTTATTTAGTAGTGGGTTAAGTATTGGGAGAGACTTAGTTGGTTTATAATATTGTACATGTGAAGTGTATTGAGTTATATGAAAGGTTGGGTATTTGAAGTAAGAGTTTTCCTATTTTACCCAATACTTACTACCCGAGTCACTTTGAGAGTGTCATGCTTAAGATACACTAGTATCTTAAGTGAGATCTCGCGAGAAGTGACGAGATTAGTAGATCTTGTCACATTCGTGGTTTGGCTGGTAAAGGGAATAGAAGTGTACTGCGGAATGCACATAGTTTGCAGATATAAGGCATTTGAGTAATGTGGGTCACAGAAAAAAAAAATTATATATATATAATGATAGGTGATGCTCTTGAAGTGCTCGAGTTTTCCTATTTTACCCAATACTTACTACCCGAGTCACGTTGAGAGTGTCATGCTTAAGATACACTAGTAAAGCAGTCAGATGTAACAAATGCGAAGAGTATACCCCGGTGCTGATATCGTCGATAGTAATATCGAAAATGGCGTATGCCTATTTACGAGTCGTGTTCAGCTTTAAACTATATACATGTATTGTTGGTCTGATGTCTCTTTCACAATGAGATTTTGAGTTCTCAAGTTCTGTCTCAGCTTCTACATACTTTTCCAAGTGTGTAACAGCAGGTAATCACACCTTGATCAAAAGCTGATGGATTGATAATGCGTACATGTGTGTTTCATTCACATTCACAAGCAAATATCCTGTGTGAGCTTCATTCACCGTGTATAACCCCACATATGGGGGCGCGGATTTTGAAGCGGAATTTGCGAGGTAAGTTGACCTGATTAGCTTTCCTACAGTGATTGAGATGAAAGTACTCCTATATTAACTTACGGCGGAACACAGTGATATCCCAGCTTACTGTTACTCGTTTCCTAGCTCGGGATTCGTCTTAGAAATACGTGAACACTTCTGCAATATCTGGTAAGAGCATGCGGGAATGCAGATTTGACCGTTTCTTGGTGAAAATTTGTGCCTAATATATCATTCAACTTCATTTGACTTATGTGAGGGACTTCTAGATATAATTTTGCTCCAGACACTCTATAATGTTTCCGAGAATTCCACCTTAAATAAAGGGGACAGACTTCAATTTCAGTGTGTTGCACTCGGGGGTACAAGTTTAGTGGAGGCCGGGGAAAGGAATAAAACTCCAACTAATAGAAATGAATTGTTTCTACAAAAATTATATTGATTATACAAGTAATGAATTGCTACAATCAATTTATTAACGCTCTCATTAACCTTCTTCCCTGAATAAGTGCACAGATCAAATGCACTTAAGGAAAAGATCAATGAATTTGTTAAAACAAATACAATTTTTCTTGGGGAGTTTGCTTCTGTGAAAATGGTAAACTCAGACTGTGGGCAGATATACGAGAAAATGCCTCTGTTGTACGCCTGGCCAAGAGAGAAACCCACAAATGTTGTTACTGTAGATGATTTAATAGTGCAATTAGAATCAGCAAAAACACTTCTTGAGAATGGTTATCAACTGCAAAGATCCTCTGAACGCCTTTTTTCGCCCATCTCCTTTCAATAGTCAACATACATGTGTTTAACTTCACTGAACACACGTATTTAAAATTCTTAATCAGTTCTATATGTACTCTAAACTACTGCTCAAGTGTCTATTTACTGTAAATGAAAGATATGCATATCTTTAGTATATATCGAAATGTACAAATAGATGTCTAGTAAACAGTGTAAATATGCGTTAAAGCACACTAATTCAGGGAATGAGGGTTAATGAGAGCGTTAATAAATTGATTGTAGCAATTCATTACTTGTATAATCAATATAATTTTTGTAGAAACAATTCTTTTCTATTAGTTGGAGATTTATTCCTTCCCCCGGCCTCCACTAAAATTTGTACCCCCGAGTGCCACACACTGAAATTGAAGTCTGCCCCCTTTATTTGAGGTGGAATTCTCGGAAACATTAGAGGGTCTGGAGCAAAATTATATCTAGAAGTCCCTCACACAAGTCAGATGAAGTTGAATGATATATTAGGCACAAATTTTCACCAAGAAACGGTCAAATCTGCATTCCCGCATGCTCTTACCAGATATTGCAGAAGTGTTCACGTATTTCTAAGACGAATCCCGAGCTGGGAAACGAGTAACAGTAAGCTGGGATATCACTGTGTTCCTCCGTAAGTTATTATAGGAGTACTTTCATCTCAATCACTGTAGGAAAGCTAATCAGGTCAACTTACCTCGCAAATTCCTCTTCAAAATCCGCGCCCCCGAATGTCACCATTCCGCGCCCCCTTATGTGGGGTTATACACGGTGTTCATTCCTATGGATACAGTATCCAGCACACCAACTTACCTGTCTGGTCTGTCCACACAAACTGTGTCTATTGTTTTACTCATTGGAAAAGATGGTCTTGAGTTAAACTGACTCTTGCTATTCGGATGGGACTAAATGGTGCCCCGTTTCAAGGATAACAACCCCCTTGCAAGCAAAAGATCGCATTTGGTTTTTGAACAAAACAAAATAGGCTCATGGGGTAGGGGGCAAAGAAAATGAGGAATCCACACACAAAAAGCAAATATCTTAATACATGTATATCAAAATAAATCTTAATATGATATTTATTTTTTAGATTTGATTAATTTTACTTGTGTTTATTTTCAAGATATCACCCTTTGTTTCTTAACGAGAATTTCACGTGGGTTACTTAATCCACGATGATAGAGTTGCTGCGTAGTTAGTATTTCACGTGTTGATAGTATCAATCACTTCCTGACTCTTTTATTTGTAAATTGAATCTACTGTTGACAAGAGCCTTTATTTTATCTTAGCAATTGACATTTTGCCTCGACTAGAATTAAAATTAGCAAGGATTGAATTTTGAATATCGCAAAGAGCCATTATTTGGACATTGATTTGATGTGATAATAGTTAACAAAAATCGAAAACGTGAAATATATTTTATTTTAATGCCTCAACATAATAGTCATTAAAGTATTAAATCCTTTTGCATAGAGCAGTAATCTAATGTATCTTAGACTTCAGATTTGATATGGGAAATCTATGAAATCCGTATCTGACACAAGAAAAATTTCTGACGGTCACATTTAGAAGGCTTCCATTCGCCACTATTAATCTTTAGTAGAATACAATCCTCATTATTCTTTCTTGTTTTTTCCCAGTTTGTATATGATAATACACCCATTGAGGATGTCCACTGTGAATTCTGGTATGTACCATCTATCCACAATTCATTCTCCGTTAAACCTGCAATAAAAAGGAGTTGGATGACTTTTAAATCATTTAAAACAATTCTTATTTCACACACATCAATCTTTTAGTAAAGAAAATAATTTTAATTCGGAGAAATGTACAGAGGGGAGGTAATTGCTTAAAATAACTGAAATCACTAATTTTCGTGGGGCTTTAATTTTCGATGTTTTCGAGGTATTAAAAGACCCACGAATTCAGGACCACCACGATATGTATATGTCATACACATAACTACTCAACAATTTATCATTCACGAAATTAAATCCCCCTAAACCCATATTTTTTCCTCAAATCACGAAAATTTGACCCCAAGAAAATATGTGATTTTACAGTATGTTCGAGGGAAGGAGGGTAACAAGCATTTAGGTTTAAGTTTGAACAAGGTCACCTCAAAGTAAAATATTCTTCGCTAACGCCCTACTTGAAATATGCTTGTGTGATATTTAAGTTCATATCATTAACTGTTCGAAAATGAATTTAAGACATTTCTTAAATGAGGACCAGTCAGTTTTTAACTGGATTCCTGGAATCAAAGGGCTTCTTGCCAAGCACACCATACATCTATGTAGCAAAAGTCGAATATCATCTTTAACTTATGTCACAAATTTAGTTTACATCTATTACAGTTTTTTTAAATTGAGGTTTGACATTCAAATATAAAGACTTTTTTTTTTTGCTTGTCACCTGCTACCTCCTCGGCAAGACAGAAAGCATACCCTGATCAGCTAGAAAACAATTACAAGGCACAATAATCTTTGAGTTTGGACTTTCTGATTCTCAAATGATTAGACTTGTTTGAAACTGAAAATCAAATCACACCCTACAATACAGTTAAGACAAATAATTTGACCATGACCTTCAAAATATTACCTTGGCAAGTTTGGTACTAAATGGGCAAATGGAACTCTGTATACTATCCACACATTGGTAGTAATATACTCTGGACCTTGACCTATGACCTAAACCTTTTGAATCTCAGATTAAAAGACATGTCCCCGTAATAGTAACACCTCTGTGACAAGTTTGTGACCGAAATATACATGTAATGACATTCAACACTCCGTTTCCGCGGCATTGTTAGGGTAAGCCGCCCTCAAGAACGCACACTTTATTTACTGCGATGAGAAAAATAAGAAACTTTCTTTACTTTAATTTGACCGTTCTAGAATTCAATGGTCAGAGATATCCTTTCAATAACAGTAGGAACTAACCAGAGCCAAAATGTTGCGCCAGGAAAGTTGAAACAGTGCTTTGTGTTTCAGCTGAATCAATCAACAGTAATGAGCTGTCAGTCGTTGTTCGGCACTCAGTTTTGGCATTGTCACGTGACATTTTGGTCTGAACAAGAGAAATACAAAACTTCTTATCCTCGCTCTCTGTATACAGAGAAGGGCATGCAGGTAATGTAGGTGTTGTTAAAACAACTGAAGTTGTCAAGCTCATTGTGGTCGATGCTGTCGATTCTAAAGGAAGTGCAACCGACGTCGATATTGACAGTTGTGTAGACACAGGCGTAGGAACAGTAGATTGTTCTAAAGTCGAAACTGGAAAAGTGAATTGTTTTCTGTGTTTACCACTAACAGAACTACACTGCAGGTTAATTTGACAGAGACATTTAAATGAACACTTCAAAAGTTTTGTAATGCATCATGCAACGATCTTTAATAGATTAATAATTAATATGGTTATGACAAGTTCAGACACTAAAAGAGACATTGTCAGTAAAGGGTAACAAATATAGTTTTCTACTAGCGTTACATATCTAAAATCAATGTCTCTGCATTAAGTAAACGTGAAGCATGGTTATAATATTTTATTGAATTTGTTACACTAGAACTTAATTATTTCTGTAACGGCAGCGAAAGTGTTTTAGTGTCTGCTGTAATTTAAGAGAGAAATCTTTTAGATGCTAGCTAGTAAACGAACTATACAATTTACCAAAACAACTACTAGAAAGGGGTAAATGACCGGTATTTAAAGCTATAACATCGAATACTTCTATTTTACTTTTGAAAATTATCGATGCCAAGTTTCCTGTACATAGAGGCTAACTTGATTTCTAACTTAATTAGAACCTGGTTATTGTGTTTCCTGTCTATTCGATATGAAAAGGGGCTTTATTACTACTAATCCTTCTCCTTCGTTATCAAGCTGTTTTCCTATATTTTCCCGAGCAACTGAAAGTGTATCAAACCCGTCAATTTTCTTTAAAAATCTACTCGCAAATTTTATCTTTTTGTCGACGATATTTTAGCAATTAACTTTTTAAGTCCTTCGATGAAGATATGATTTACGTGGAATTTAAAAAGTTACCTGGGTTAACACATACTGTCTTTTTACTGCTCAACTGAACACATTTTGTGTTCGTGGAACCTTGATTTATCTGCGTTGTATAAGAAGGTACCATGCTCTGGAAATAAAGTTAAAAAGTTATGAACGGTTTCTTGACAATTCTTGTGCAATCTTAGAATAAAATGATCACCTGTATGAGCTACTCCCAATGCTAAATCTATTCCACATCTAAAAATAAAAAAAATAAGCAAGAAAACATGTCATGATTGGTTATACATTTCCCAGTTGTAGGCTGGCTTGATATGTTTCATCTACTATAGGTCCTTTTCACCTCAACCCAATAATTTCCAAACATTCCTGCTTAATGTTGCGTGTACCTGATTTTGATTCCTGCTCTCGTTTGATGAGTATAAACGTATCCATTATGGTCAGATTCCTGAAATATCATTTTTTTAAAACCTATTTTATTAATACTCCTTTTTGCTTGATTTTCATGATTTTTTTTCATTTTGATTTCTATATGTTTATTCTGCATGTACGATATCTTTTAAAGTTTTACGAGACCATAACGATGAAAATGTTTGCAAATATTAACTACTACTTGAATATCACTACTAAGTATTAGTAAGTGATTGTAGAATGGATCACAAATTATATGCAAACATTCACTAGGAAAGTTCTAGTACCCTTCTTTTTAGTTCCCATCTAATTAAAAAGTATGAATTTGAACAATGGATTCATGAAGAGGCTTTCATTGTGTTGATATTTGAAGTGGAGTGTTATAAGGAGAAATTAAGAACAAAACAAACACAAGTATTGTTATGTCGGCATTAATATATTTGCCATACTTGAAATCAGAGAATGTGTACATTATTGATTATCTTATTAGTAAATTAGTTTGTGTTTATATTTATTATATCTTTTTATGGTCCATTTATTGCAACATTATTAAGAAATATGAGCTGCAATTTGGTGTCCAAAGATTTTGTAATAAATTTGTATTTTACTATTTCGATGACAGAAGTTTATTAACTTCTATTTTTCATATTTACATTGGAAAAGGTAATAAGAATCTCCTATTAATGCAAAATGAGCCCAAAATGAACAAATCTGACGGATGCCTTGAATGAAATCAAATGCGACTGACCACAGAAGTTCACAAAAATGTTTTCGGACTCATCGTAATAGCCATCTTTATAGGCATTGGCTTAAAGCAGCCTTTTTCCCCTTTAGTCTTTCCTCATTCTTTCATCCATGCATCCCCTTTTTGTGCCACCTTCAGAGCAGAGCAAAACTCTGGGGATCAGCCCGGCGTCTGTATATCTGTCTGTCAAAGTCTAAATCATTTAAACCCTGAGAGATAGGTTCACAAAGTATTACAACTGAAAAATCCTAAATATAACCTAAAACTAGCCTTTTCTAAAAATTCACACTCTCTGATACTAAAAGAGAACTTTTAGTATCAGAGAGTGTGAATTTTTATAAAAGGCTAGTTTTCCATGTAGGTTATATTTTGGTTTTTCAGTTGTAATACTTTGTGAATATGTCATAGAAAAATGGGGTACGAAACACAGGGGGATGGGGGGGGGGGGTCCCGTCCCGAAGCACCTGTGACCATGAAGGGTTTATCTGTGATATTCAGATATTGAGCATGTGTAATGCTTTTTACAATACATTTTTATCAGGGGTATTGATCTAGCAAACCTTTGACTTGACCTTTAACTTTCTTACAAAACATAAAATGTTCCATATCTTCTTTCAATGACACAAGATTGAGATTTGCTATTCTAGAATTTGTATGGTTTTAAAATAATTTTTTTCTTAGTGTTCTATGCTTGCAGACTTTGTAACCTTGAACACCCCCCCCCCCCCAACAAAAGAAGGAAGGAAAAAACCAAACTTCGTCATTTAATTTTGAATTGTATTAACATATCAGATTCTGATACATCTATCTTTGTCACGTTAATAAACATGTGTTTACATTTAAAGTTAAACATAAAGATGTTATATTTGTGTATTTCTGAGTATTCATTATAAATGTAAGTTATGAAAATTATATGATATTTAAAAAAAATAATTAGAGATCGACTGTTTTGAGGTTATGGTTATGATTTTTCCCAGGTTAATGGCATTCTTTGTAATTCTTCTTCTGCATACAGAAATTTGACCGAAATACGACGATGCAAGTTATGTGAATTTAATTACGTCTAAGAATTTAAATGGTTTTTTCTTCGAAAACGTTCGGAAAATTTCTTAAAGTAATAGGGTTTCACCGGTAACCTTTAATAATACCATCCACGGAATAAGAAAAAAAAAAATACGACCCAATTTATCACGGTCCAGCTGGACAAGGACGCTACATGTACATGTAAATTTTTAGACTCCGAGAAATTGACATTTTAGTAAGTAGTTCTTACAAACAAATGAATGGCTATTGATTGTCATGTTTAAAAGTCATTCTTGCTAACTTTGTCCGATTGGTTTATGTAATATTTAGAGACAATGAAATATTCACATATATTACCAGAAGCATGGTAAAAAATATATAAATATTGATTTTCAAAGTCAATACCATAACAAATTAGTTAATGGGCAAGATTTTCATGGGAATAATTTTCATAATTGTCATAGTAGTTCTAAAACGCGCCTTCTTTCAGCCCTTAAGGACTCTCTAAACAGTGCACACTGAAGACTTCTGATTTCATTGTACTTGAAAGCAGAAAGAATTATCTGCTCTTTAATTCTCAAAACTGAATTAACTGAAATTTAGTGTAATAAAAAGTTTGTAATCAATTCAAGTATTATGTCATTATAAGTAAGCAACAGTGATTTCTCTTCATCAATACTTTATTGTTTTTGAACATTTTTCTGGGTCAGAATGGCAGGTATTCAATGTTGAAAATGATACCGATAAACTCTGTATTTGTTTTTGGCGCCTTTATACGCGTACGATATGATTTTCTCAAATAAATAAAAACAAAACAAAATAAAAACAAAAATTCATTAGAGTGTAAAGGGTCTTTATTGTTATTCGGACTTATTCCCCTAAAGGATTTTTTTTACCTTTTCATATTTAGTAGAACAAACCCTTATCTCATATGAATAAGTGAAAAGTAGAGTACAGAAATTATAAAACAGATAAAATAACGAATTAGAAGAAAGATGACTAACGTATTTGAAAAAAAATCAAACCTTGTCGACTTAATGTACGTTTTTCACAATAAAGGTATATTTTTAACTTCAAAGATTGCAGTGAACTCAGCTGTTTACCCTTACTGTAATTTTTTTCTGATAAGAGGTCGTTATTATAATTTAAAGCTTGCAACAGCGCCCAACGTCGTTAGTAAATAACTAAATTTGAAAAGCATTTATAAACCTTTTCTGTTATGAATCAGTGAAAAGTGGGTAAGTTTTGAATAATTTAAGTTACTATTCGCCTTCTACTCACATTAATCACCTGAATGATGAGAGAGAGACAATGCCATTCCATATCTCGGTCACAGGGTGTAATAGTCTGCTTACAATACATGTATGTGATATTGTTAGCCATAGTCAGAGTTACCAAAAAAAAAAAAGAGCAAAACAAAACAAAAACAAAACAAAACAAAAAAAAAACTGGTCCTGATTACTCTTCTCTCCTAAACTGGCAGATGTTATATTTCGCTATTTCTAAGGTTCTTGGCCACTTCATCAAACAAATCGAGCTTAGAATTATTTGAATTGTTCGAAACGTGTTCTTGAGGAGAACATTTCAACAAAGAATGCGCATGTCTTGTAATATGGGACATTTTTTACTCTGCTTTCTTAATAAACTCTTTCACGTGACTACTAATGTCTGAATTTCTATAAAAGATCAGAAATATTTTAGCTATACTCTTCCTTTTTATCATTTTTTCTTCAGAAAATCTTCAAATATATTTCTTCATGATAGAATGTTTAGCTATACCTAGTAGAGTTAGACGACTAAAGGACTATGCTTTTTCGAAAGGGCCAACCTAATTTCATCTGTGATTAATCGAAAACTTCAAAGACCACCAAATTATATTAATTTGTTTCTTGTTTTGGTACATGTTGATGTACATGCACCAGTATTTTCCTACATATAATTTTGGAAAATGAGCTAAATGTCTAAGAAATTGTAAAAAAAAAAAAAAAAAAAAAAAAAAAAAAAAAAAAAAAAAAAAAAAAAACGGATTTTGAAGTTCGAGTATCATTTGGGAAAGAGCATCTTATGAAAAATATACATTGTAATCAAGATTACAATCAAAATTCAAATAATGTTGAAAATTGTAAAGAAATGAATACACTATAAAAGATGAATGTTAAGAATAGTAAACACAATTTGCTAGATTTTGAGCCACGGAAACGATTTCGGATTCGAAAACATTTTTGTATACAGTTTGTCATTTACTTTTGTCAAGACATTGTAATGATAAACCTTATGGGCTTCTGCTTACATGTATATGAGCTCGTGTACGCCATGTAACGCGAGAACACGGATATTTGAGTTTTTAATGTTTATAAATGTTTATAATTTCGTTGTCCATAAGTGAATATTAAGTGCAATGTTGCATGAAAAATTAAATTAACAATGAAATATACCTGTTGATGCGAATTACTGTGTACTCCAATATTATATCCTTAAAAATCTCAAAAAACCACGATAGTTATTTCTTAAATAAAGCATTCTATTCACAGTTATTAATGCATACATGTAATCTTATGGATTAATATTATCTCGGTGAACTTTTGGGGGTCTAGGAAGACTTTTACAATATTAAAATACAAAATTAAAAAGTGGTTAAATTACTTGACTTAAAAAGGGTATGACTGATGAATTCAATATTAGAAAGTGTTTTTTTTTCCGAAAAAAAAATATAATGATAATTTTTGAAAATTCTCACAGGTGGAACGTCAGCCATATCCACATATGTAAAGAACGGGTCTGTTATAATTTGTGACTGATCACTCTCCGTTTCAATGCTACTCCAATATAAATCACAGATTAGATATCGTCTGTTGTAGCTCACAGATACGCAGTTTCTGTGGGATTTGCATTCTTTAATACACATAATATATCCATAACCATTCACAGAATCTAACAAGCGGTCCTTCATTCGAACACCCTCTCGCTTTTTTAATCCCGTGGAGCAAACTTTCGAAGCTACAAAATCCCTCAGTAATGTGTAGAACAGAAATACAGTTAGCAAATTTTCAACAAATCTTGAAAATTTTCTCATGATTATTAAATATGATTTCTTAAGAATTATAAAAGTTAATTTAGACATTCATTGGGTCGTCTTCCTCAATCCACGACTTGCCAACTCTGATAAGATTTTTAGTTGATGTCTGAGCCGAGTCAGCTATCGATTATTGAAAGAACATAAAATTATTTCAGATAGAACTCTGGCACTAAAAGTAGCAACATCAAAATGCCGAGATATTCTACAGATAATATTCTAATTATTCCTGTATACCACATGTAAAAGATCAATTACTGTTTAATGCAATTAAATTCCAACGTTCAAACAACAGGGCCATGGACCATAATTCTCCTCCGAATTCATTTGTTCCTACAGAAAATTAAAAGAATTGTCATAAATATTTATCATTTTGGTTTCACAGATGATACAAGTAAATGGAGAAAGCAAGATGATACATTGTGATTTTTTTGTTTATAAAAACGAATTTACCCGCTTTCTATATGGGCTGCCTAATTTGAGATTGACTCCCTTCCACCCTCTTGCTGGGTTCATAGAATGAACAAATTGGATACACTCTTTATGAGGAATCTTGGATTGCAATTTATCAAAATGTGTTGCACCATCCCCATTTTCTCTTCTTTACATCGATGTAGATGGGAGTTTGGCTGGTTCTCTCCCGTAGGCTGCTGTTTGATATGGTGTCGGGCCATCTGATGTTAAGGATATGACAGAGACATTTATTGATGAAAGACTGTAGTTTGTTATTTATGGGGCCATGTTTTGAACAAAATTGAATCTTCACTACCTGAAGATTCTTCCAAAGTAACATAGCTAATCATGGCCTTGCTGTTCTCGAGAAGAATTTTTCCCAATATCTTCCTATTTAAACTTTGATTGCCCATTGTGGTCCAACCCTATTCCCAGGGATCATGATTTGAACAAACTTAAATCTGCACTCTCTGAGGATGCTTCCATAGAAGTTGACTATCAGGACTTTGTAGTTCTTGAGAAAAAATTTAGATTGTATACTTAAGTACTACGTATTCCTATGTAAAATTTTGATCGCCTATTGTGGCGGCACCCTACCCCTGGGCGTCATTATTTGAAAACAAGAGGCCCAAGGGCCTTAACGGTCACCTGAGTACAATACAACAATTTAGAGGATCCATAAACTGATAAATGAAGCTTTGTTGCTCAAAAGCAAAAAAAAGTATGATTAGCATCAACAAAATAATTGGTCTAGTATCTATCTGCCCCCCCCCCCCCCATTTATCACTTTTCCCATGCAGACTATTAACAAAATGTCTATTATTTAACCCCATATTATTCCTTCTCACAATGGCCTCTCTTGGTCGTTGAAGAACATTTAAAAAGATTAAGTTATTTTTGTCTCATTTTTATACATCTATTATTTCCAAGTCATTAAAACTATGAATTTCAAAGTACTTTTTTTATTATACAATAAATTTTCTTGCATAATTCTCTTATTCTATTAAGCTTTCAAATACATTATGTACATTGATTAATTATCAAAGGTGAATGGCAAAGGGGAATAACTTTGCTCAGTAGCATGCAAGTTAATAGAGCCCTGGCCAGGACCAGAAAACTTGACTAAATGGTCCAGGTGTTCAAAATTCTGGTAAAAATACCCTTGCATATTAAAACTTTTACTCTGTTTGCCTTGAACATCCAGAGAAGCATAGAAGATTTTCAAAGAAATGCATTTTCACCATATTATTAAATAAACAAAGCCCCATCCTTACCAGAACATCTGACCAATTGGCCACGAACTCACAATTCTGGAAGAAGCACCCTTTCTCATCATAACTTGTTTCTTTAGTTTATAACCAGTAGTAGATAAAAAATTTTGAAAGAAATTATGCATTTTCACTATATCCATGTAATCAATAGAGCTCTCCCCCCCTCCCCCCAACTAAAACCCCTGACCCAGGGGCCATGAATTTCACAATTTTGGAAGAGGCATTCTTCCTTATCATAACCATGCACTTCCTTTGTTTGAAAAATACCCAGGAGCAGAGAAGAAGATTTTGAAAGAATTCAGGCCTTTCCCCTATATAATCAATAAAGCCCCCCCCCCAACACCAGAACCCCTGACCCGGGGGCCATGAAATTCACAATTTTGGAAGAGGCATTCTTGCTCATCATAACTGAGTAACTTTATTTAATACCCAGGAGAGAGAAGATTTTCAAAGAATTAATGCATCTTCACTATAAAATCAATAGAGCCCCGCCCTACCACCAGAACCCCGACCCAGGGGCCATGAAATTCACAATTTTGGAAGAGGCATTCTTGCTCATCATAACTATGTACTAAGTTACTTTATTTAATACCCAGGAGCAGAGAAGAAGATTTTCAAAGAATTAATGCCTTTTCCCTATATAATCAATAGAGCCCCACCCTAACACCAGAACCCCTGACCCTGGGGACATGAAATTCACAATTTTGGAAGAGGCATTCTTGCTCATCATAACTATGTACTTAGTTACTTAATTTAATACCGAGGAGCAGAGAAGATTTTCAAAGAATCCATGCATTTTCTCTATATAATCAATAGAGCCCCACCCTAAAACCAGAACCCCTCACCCTGGGGCCATGAAATTCACAATTTTGGAAGAGGCATTCTTGCTCATCATGACTTTGTACTTAGTTAGTTTATTTAATACCCAGGAGCAGAGAAGAAGATCTTCAAAGAAATAATGCACTTTCACTATATGATCTATATAGCCCCACCCTAGCACCAGAACCCCTGACCCTGGGGCCATGAATTTCACAATTTTGGTAGAGGGCTCAATGCTTATTACTATGATGCCAACAGTTTGACTGCTTGATGTCCAGGAGTAAAGAAGAAGATTTTTAAAGATTGCATTATTTTCAGTGGTTTTATCCCCACCCCTCAGGCCCCAGGGGGGCAGGGACCATGAAATTCATAATTTTTGTTCCCCTTTACCCATAGATGCTATATGCCAAATTTGGTTGAAGTTGGTTAAGCGGTTTCAGAGAAGAAGCTAAAAATGTTCAAATGTTAACACACGACGCACACCGCACGACGCACGCCGACGGACGAGAACAGATAGCAATAGGTCACCTGAGTGACTCAGGTGACCTAAAAATGAATCTATACTATCTGAGGATGCCTCCATATTATTATGACTTACCAAGTCTTTGGTGCTCTGGAGAAGAATATTTTTAAAGATTGTTTCCTATATATCCCTATGTAAAACTCTGATACATGTAACTTATTGTGGCCCCAACCTTCACCCAGGGGTCATGATTTGAACAAACTTGAATTTACTCTATGTAATGAAGTTTTCACATAAATTTATTCTTTTTCGGCCCAGTGGTTCTTGAATAAAAGCTTTTTGAAAGATGCAATTAAATTTTCACTACTAGTAATTTTTAATTATATCCCCTCGAAAGAGGTTATGATCCTTTATTTAAAAAAAACAACAAAAAAAAAAAAACAAAAAAAAAAACAACCCAAAAAAAATAACCGAATTCCCTTTAAGGATGCTTTGTGGTAAGTTTGGTTAAAATTGTCCCAGTGTTTCTTTAGGAAAAGTCGAAAATGTGAAATCTTTACTCATGACACACGACAGACAGACAGACGGACGCATTTTAATGGTTGTACCAAATCTTAACTTCATGCACAATCTTTGAGTCAAATCTGTCTATAGTTTTCTTTTTTTATTTTCAATAATTGCTTGGACAATGATCTGGACAACTGATTGGCGTTATTTTTATATCCTCCAATGAGGGATTCCGTAAACATAGAGCAGAAAAGATCCACGTCTGTTTCTGTTCTTTGATCACTCCTTTGTCAATTTAAGGTCATTTAATTATTTGAGTCCTATTTTGTCAAAGTCATTCACCCCCACGTGATGTACAAATGCAGAAACGAAAAAGAATCATCATTTCTAGACTACGAACTGTATTAACAATCAATGAAGAATTTATACGAACTGAAGATCAAGTGCATTAATTTAATATCCAAGGATTTAGGACCAGAAAATTCAGCTTTCATTGTATAAAAGACATCAGTAATATATGTTTAACAGGAAGAAATCTGTTCTCCGATTTTGCTTCCGGTTTCATATTGATATTTTTATAACCTTTAAATAAAAAATATGACCAACAAAGACATGTTTCAAGGCAATGTCCATTTATCAAATTAATGTGTATTGGCATTTTATGAGGATCTAATTTTCTAAATAAAGAAAAAGAAATTGTCGTACTAAGTCAACTCTCTCGGATAGGTCAATATTCCATCGTTACCGTAGTTTGATTAATTAGCTGATATTTGATTCATGAAATTTTTGGATGAATGGAAAAGAATGATCAATGTAAGTGGGAATTAATCTACTAAAACTTGCTTTCTGCATAGTGTGGAAGAAAATATTAGTATTATAGTAGTGTAACGAATTCTGAATATTGGAGCGCCACTTTGTCACACATTGCATGATGATGCACATCTTTGTTGCATTTACAACTGACAAACTTTCGTAATGTATTGTATCGACCTTTCTGCTAGGCCGATAAAAATCACTTCCATGCACGCTCGTGAACAGACTCGTGATGTCTCGGCATTCCTCTCAATAAAATAATGAATACACTAAAAGGAATTATTTATTCGATCACTTTTAGTGAGTTTTTTTAATGATATACACAATTAAATAATGTAAAACTAATTTTCTTAATGTAAATATATACAAAAAATGACCGTGAAGATAGATTTACATGTACCAAGATGAAATGAACTCACAAAAATTTCAAAAAAATTAAAAGACAAGCAAACATGAATTATCAAAACATTATCTGAGCAAGTGTGAAATGCTTCAATTAAAGACATGTTTTCATTAAACCCTACATGTACCATGCCAACTCACTTTTAGTTATGACAGAAGTATAAATAGAATAACTCTACAACTAATAAAGTCGTGGTCATCATTATTTCTTAAATTAAAGCATGAAAAGGATTGGAATGATTTCATAGTCACACAGTATAAAACACTGCGCCATGGAAATGAAATTTACACTTCACTGAAACCAAACACATTTTTCCTGTTATTGTTCTCATTTTTCGCCGACTCGCACCTTAGAGACAGATTTACAGGAAGTGACGAACTCGATATTTTTCGCTTCGTAGAGAAGTTTTGAATGTCCTCATAACAGGATCGTCTGCGTAGAGATTCACTAGAGATTGACAGTCCTTGCTTCAAATCAGTAGGTTGTAGCTGTAGAGCGTAATTATAGGCTGGGACTGACAACGATCGTATTATAGTCTTTGGCTTCTTTTCACCTTGAATGGACAATTTCGGCTTCTGTCAAAACAATGTATAATTTTAGTTAACAATAAAAATCTATCTTATGGCACGTGATCGATCAGTCACGTTTTCTTTTCTTTCAAAGTTGCGTTTTTTTATTTACCCATATTTTAACCAAATACATAAAAGACGGAAAAAAACAAAGTGACTCCGCAATTCTCAAACTGATATTATGTTAAATCATTTTCAGAGTAAATAATCTTATTATCTGTATACAATAAATAAGCAAAATGAAAACTTCAGCTCTCCTGTAAAATGCAAGAATGAATTAAAAAAAAAAATCCTATGTATGCCTTAGTCATGTATAAATTAACACTTTTCCCTCATGGGTTTGACATACAGACCGTTCCAATCATAAAATTGATACACAGAACCTTAAATATGAAAGTGCTATTTACTTTGATGCATATGTAATGCACAAAAGTAAAAATCAAATAAATAATCCATACTTTGTGTGTACATTAATTTGTGCTTGGGTCTCGAAATTAAAAGATAAAAATGTATAGCTTTTTCCCCTCGAATTGCAATAGGTTTTTTTTTTGTTTTTTTTTTAATACAAAAAAACATTAAAGTTTCAAGCTTCTCGAACATTTTCAGTTATGTACATAAGAAATCATTGTGATGAATGCGACAAAAACAAAAATACATACCTTTTCTTTTTTAATGTTGGAGCCTGGCAGAAGTTCATCTAACCACTTTAATTCATGCTGCGTAAAGATGAAGTCAAGTGCCTTTCTTTGAAAACATATGCCCAGGACCTAATATGATAAATACTATATTAACATGACTCAATACTATTTACTTTTCAATTTTATAAAACGTGCCTCTTACCCAGCTTTCTCTAAATGGAACTACATTGTACCTTAAGTCTCAAAGTAAAGAATCGTGTATATTCTACTCAGACAGCAACAAGTGAACAAATATGTCATGATGTAAATTTTGAATTTACTGCCAGGTGGCAGTAAATAAAAAATTTACATCATGACAAGTTTTCATGTTGTAAATTTTGTATTTACTGCCACCCGGTAAATCCAAAATTTACAACATGACAAATACATGATAAAATCTGATATATGAATCTACCATGATGGGGAACACGATGCTGATGGACTTGATGCTCTTCACTGCCCACAGCGCGGCCAAACAGATGACCTGAATCCCCGTGTACAGATGGACTTTGGTCAAGGGGACATGGCGGAGAAACTTGTAGTCAGGCTGGTATTTCTGTGGCATAAATATAATTAAAATTCGCTGGACCATCTGTAAATAAAATAAATTAATATGTTTACAAAAATTCAGTTATAATTTCATGAAAATCAAATTGGTTTACTTTCCTTAGTTCTAGTCTTAAATCAAAGACGTGTAAATATTATGTACCTGCATTCCGCTCAGAGCCGATGCGCCCATGTAAAAGAATACGCCATACAAAACAGGCATTGGAATGTGCTGCAAAAAATTAATTATGATTAAAGGAATCCCTATTTTACATTATGTGGACTGCTTTATTATTCATATAAGCATGTATTGTAAGTAGTTGACATATGTAAGAAAAAATGCTATATACCAAATTCTGTATTTTCTTCTATTTGTGAGTACAAAATTACAATGTCTATCCTTTTTGTAAATGATATTTAAATTCGATTTCTAAATGAGTCAAAGTATACAATTTCAATTATATTTGAGATAAGCTCTTAAGATAATTATGCTTGACATTTTTATCTTAATTACAAGAATCGCTCCATTAAGAACCGAGAAAGTACGTGTACCATTGAAAGTATTAATTGTTCTAAAAACCTACTTTACAAATACCTTAATGTGATGAACGATGTATAATCTTTGTATGTTTAGCACTGTCTAAATCGACACAGTTTTAGGACGCATCTCAAGAGAATTTAGTTGCATTAACCGTATGAGAATAAAAATTTTAAATGCACAACAATACTATTTGTTTTCCACTTTAATTACCGGTTCATCAATTCATTTATTTTTACGACTAGTTTCAAATAAATTTTAGATTGTCTGTGAAAATTGGATATTAATGAAAAGAAAAGGAAAATTCAAAAAACAAACAAAATAATGAAATGGCCTGTGAATAACAAAAAACAAAGCGTACCTTTAATACTGATGTTATGAGAACGGCCAAACCGCTGAATAAACCCACGAGAAGGGCAGTAACTCGTTGTTCCCTGTACCAAAAAAAAAAATAAAGACCTATCAACCCATAAAAGAAAAAGAGACAGTGAGTCCTCAATTCTTTATATCTTTTTCCAATTAATCAAAATACCCCTACCCATGTGTAGTGTTCGACTCAACTTTCATTAAAAGAATTCGACAAGATACATGTACAGTGTACCTGTATATAATTCGGCTTTCGCAATTGAAATATGTCAAAAAAATAATGTATAAAAATATGTTGAATAACTGTGCCTATGCGCTTGAGTAGGAAGGGGGGGGGGGTATCCCTGGGGTGATACGAACCTGACTCCAAGGAAAGTCGGTTTTTCGCCCGGGGCGGTACACTCGGATTCCTTTCGTAAACTCATCACATGAGCAATGGCGGTAACTGTTGCGGCTACAAACCATGGCAACCCCAAGAAGGATAGCAGCATAATCAGAATAGCTACAACCAGTAGATCTAAGTGATAACCTCCACCTTTCTAAAAAAAAAAAAAAAGAATTATTCATTATATTTAGAAAGGACTTGGTTAACTTTCTGTAATGCAGAAGTTCTCGAAAATCTAGGCTTGAAATAATCCTATAACTCGACGTAAGTATAATTCAACCATCTCTAACAGTAGGCAGTCATAATTCAAACTCACTTTCAGGCATCAGCATAACATTAATTGATTGATTGTTGTTTTACGTCTCTTGCAAGAAGTTTTCACTCCAAATATCGGTGAAGGGCCTCAAATTTAGACCTATACTCGGCACTCAAGACCATTGAGCAGCGAGAGTTCTTTATCGTGCCAACGCCTACCGTGACACGATACCTTCGTTTTTATGGACATAGTCAAAAGACCCATGACTTTCGCTTCTTATACCACATACCAGGCGCTTTGCATAGGAACAGTCACTACATGTACCTATCTTATACGTTTTCTGATGCGGCACCGGAACGAGAATAGAACCCGATCTCCCGATCACGAAGCGAACGCCATACTACCACTAGTGGGATACCGCTACCGGTATATCAATATACAAAGTCTATTAATTACACTTTACGAGTTGTAATGTTCTAGAAGTGCTATTTCCTGATGATTTTAATTTTACCTTTAGCTTGTTTTCTTTTCTGTTCACAATAACTGATGTGATCTGCTGATCCAAGAAAATCAGAATAGTCGCGAGAGCTGCTGGTATGGCCGACGCCAGGATAAGCCACCATGGATTCTTGTCACTAATTGGGTTGATGATCCAGCCTCGGTCAGGTCTGGTTGGCTAGGGAGAAAAAAATAAGACGATAAAATTCCTAATACAGTTGTTCAAAGTTGCGAAGTTGAATTTGAATGCCTGTAAACAACTAACCCCTTTTAAAAAAATAATTACTAACCTTGAACTCTGATGGCACGGTAAGTTTTGGAGTTGGGATCCCAAGCAAGATGTCTACTAGAACCATGACTATGATGGCAATAAGTACACCAAAATCTCCAACGGTATTTCTGACCTAAAAGAAAAAAATCATGAAATCTAATATTGTTCGTTGAAACCAAAAAGGTGATGCTTTCCTATTTTTTTTAAAAAGGAAATTTACTCACAAAATTAGGAAAAAATCCGGAGTTTCGGAATATCTTCACACCATAAGCAATTGTGAAGGTTCCAAGAAAAAGAAGGACACTAAAAAAGAAGACATCAGGTACGAAATCTCCTGGATGACAGTCTTTCCCTCCAAGAAAACCTCCATTCTCCGTGCAATTGTTCAGCGGCCATGACGTAATGACTGCACCAGAGGCAGTTGTGGTTTCACTGCTTGGTGTTGTTTGTACCGACCTCACATGGCGCGAAGCAACATGACCATTTTCAAATTGCGTATTATTCAGGAAAATGCAAAAACAGTCTTGCAGTTGTTTGCTTTCTGCATGTAATTCAACTGGAGCTAAATGCTCTATTTCGATTAGTTTCTTGAATGCTTCATAGATGAAAATGAGAGCAATCAAGCAGGCAAAAGACTCTTCTGTAAATCTCGTAATGTATCGTACGAGTGAGCTTAGGTCAAAGGCCACGATAACGACAAGCAACAATGCTGTCCAAAGTCCGACCCAAATGCGCAGCGATAAGAAATCCCAATTTTGTTCTCTGTAAATAAATTATTATAGTTTAATAAATCAGGAAAATATAAAGGTTTTGCCGGAAGTGGTCATGCTTTCAAGCATGCAAACAAGATTTACTAGTATATTTCCTCCCCCCACCCCTCTTTCGAAATTCCTCAAAACATAAAAATGGTCACATTAGTGACATACTTGCAAAAATTAAATAAAATTGATTCTAAGACGAGCATTGGTCCAGTACTGCCGAGGATGTTCATTGGTTGACCGGAGAATAAAGCGAAGATGATCCCCGTCACTGCTGCCGCCAATATACATTCCATCGTGCCCTGAAATATAAGTTGTCTCTCTCGTATTGTGTTTTTTTTTCTAGATTTCTTTGCAAGAAATTCTATAAAGTTCGCCCCCCCCCCCCCCGGATAACAAGTCACATGGCGGTACTTTAAGCTACATTGAAGAAATAAACTGTCATGTTGTTGTAAATTTTGAATTTACCGAGTGGCAGTAAATACAAAATTTACAACATGACAAAACCCTAATCAGTTTGTCAATTTTTGTTGTATTTTTTGAATGACGTAGGTGAAATATTGGAATGCAACTATAAGAAAAGTATTTCAGTTCATACATTGTATGACCAAATATTTACTTTTTATTCAATATTTTTCATCAAGAGCTAACGCGCTTCATACAAATTATACCTGGGTAAAAAGTATCAGGTCATGCCTTTATGAACTTTGAATTCTGGAATTAATGATTTAAGATAAATTGGATTTCTTAAGTGTACATCTGCAAAGTTCATTATTTAAAGTGTTTTATGGGTCTATAATCAAAACTGTAGTCGGCTATTTGTCATATCACTAGACTGAGACTACCACAACCAAGGAAGGCAGCAGGCGCGCAAATTACCCACTCCTGGCACGGGGAGGACTTTTTAATATTTTGTTTAAAAGTTACAATAAAATTTACTTCGGTGTGAATCAAGGCATATTAGTGTGCTGAGGTGTAAGTTACTGTTTTCAATGGATTACTGTTATCGATGTTCATACGAGATTTAAAGCTCTGACATTTTACTTTGTAGTTGTTGCATAAAGTAAGAACGCTGTTACATTTGGTCATTTTCGTACACTAACCATATGCTGCTCTGTTGCTACTCCAAGAAGACCTCCAAATGTCACATTAGGTGTTAATGTCGCTAAAAACAGGTACACGAATGATGCAAAACACTGTACGTGGATTGCGTCGGTGAAGTCGCTTCTGTACCATTTCCATTTCCGTTTTACATCTTGTATCAACCCTCCGAACAATCTACAACGACATCAATATTTGTATATTTCTGGTGGAGATTACTTAACAGAGGCCCGCCATCGCGTGCACGATCAGGCCATAAAATTACAACGGACATCGGTGATGTTTGTTTAACACCTTAAAAGCATGTTGTAAGATCGTGCTCTTTTTTGTAATTCAAACAAGGAAAGGTACATCAGGAACGGAATAATTTACACGATTTTCTAGTTTAACCTTGCTTTCATTTTCTTTTGATGTTTTATCATAAATTCATGATGGCATGTCTTTTTTCATGTTGATTTTTTTCATTTCTTGAACATTATTGATTTCCATTTATAGACATAAAAATCGATAATGGATGAGAAACACAATTTTATGACGTCTTTGTCCATTTTTACCAATTCGATGAAATTTTAAAATTTCTTATACATATTCTCAGAAAGTTGGAAAAAAAACATACAATTCTATTTACAATGATCCAAACCAGATCCAAACCAGTTTATTGCTTTTCACAGAAACATTAATTTTTTCCCTATATAAATAGATGTTCACAGTTTCAGTCTTTTTTCGTTGATTAGAATGATAGGAGGTCAAACAAACTGCACACTAAGAATTGTTTCTGCGAATGGAAAACTGTTTCGGTTAATAGACATTGTTAGAATGGTAAATAGCATACGGCTTTGTCAGTTAAAGAGTACATTAATCGTCATTCTACTACGATTATTGCCGAGATCAAAGAAATGCCGCGGACATTATTCTCCAATAAATCACGAACGTCATCAAAAAATTATCAGATCTGAAACACATGTCAAATCTGTACAGTTGAAATAAATATTTCACTGTATAATCTAATACTTATTTAGACCATATCGATGTGTCGTCTTCCGCAGTCTAAACGTGTGTATTGCCTGAAACAGCTGATAAATATCGTTTTTATAGCCAAGTGGGGCTGTTCTACGGACCTCCCCATAACATTTACACTCCCGTGATTTTACTGATAAATCAATGAAATAGACAACTGGTTTTGTTATTTTTCATTCATAAAAATTAATCAATATATGTTACAAGCAAATTTATAAATAATTAAAGGATATTTTTAATCCAGCAAAAGCTGAAATCGTCTGCATTTTATGCAATCGATTGACCCTCTGGTGTTAAATGGAACAGCGAAATTGCGACATGGTGACCTAATTCGTTTCCCTATAGAGAAAACGATCAACTGTATTTTAGAGTCGTTAGTAGAATAGAAATAAAGTCCTTGTTGTCGTGAATGATGCAGGATAACCTCCTCGGTCTCGAAATGTTGTCTGAAATATAAAAGCCTCGGCTAACGCCTCGGCTTTTATATTTCAGACAACATTTCTCGACCTCGGAGGTTATCCTGCAACATTCTCGATAACGCGGACTTTATTTCTTAAACAACATATTAGGTCGATGATGATGAATGTTAGTTTTTTGTAGGTTTGATGATAAACTCCTTTTTCTGGTCCTCTTCTAATATTTTTATGTTTTTATCATTTCATTTTTTTTTTATATTAAACAGTGTTTTGATACGGATAAATAACATAACAAACAGAAGAAAGCATGAACCCCGTCCAAAGCTTTATGACATTCGCCTACATATGGAGATGTCCTTGAGCTCTAGTTTTAGTACGAGTAATTTAATGATTGAGTTACTAACCTTCCTGTCCGTTCCAGGCTGGGGTCGTGGTGTGGGTCATCATCATCATCTTCCTCCGTGGTTTTGTTCACCTTCTCCGCAACCTTTGCATTTGCCCGAGAGTCCTATTAAAAAACATTTTTTTTCCTCCAAATTGCAACACTTTTCTTAAAGATTTATATGATTTTCATAACCGACATTTGAATTTTTTGAATAATCATAGAATTTTTAACAATAATAAAGACAAGAGAAAAATATTACGAACTTTTGGAGGCAATACTTTCGGTGGTTCGATTCTATTATTTTTGTCCCAGCATCCTGGGGGTAGTACAGTCACATGACTAGTAAAGTCCAAAACGGCTGACAAAATTTCCACCTTATTCGTTGATCTGTAGGCTGCTTCTCGGAAAATCTAGGAGAAAAATCAGATAAATATAAAATTAAGTGAGTTCAAAATTTATTTAACAATGTTGGTCATTGAATATCAATACCAATTGTATTCAGTATTAAATAATTCAGCGCGCATGCTATCTGAAATTTTTTTTACCTCATCTGTCATAAGAGTTCCAATACATCGCCCTATTTCTACTCCTACTTCAATATCATCTAGGGGCACTAAGAGGATGAACAAGAAACGGGTGGGCAAAGAAACCTCTGTTATTTTGCCGACATCTTTTGCTTCACTCAGCCTGACGAATGCACACAGTCTTCTGTTTTTGAGTTCCTCTACTTCTCCAACCATTATATTGAGAACCTCCGCACCCTCGGGGATCTTTCGTTTGAATTTGTCATTGAGCTGAAGAAAACGTAGAGGTTAGTAACTTTAGACAAGTTTTTTTTTAAATTGATATTTTCAAAATAAAGAAACAAACAACTATACTACTAATGAATCTTGAGAATTACCTCAAAACCAAAAGAAAGAAGCTCACTGGATGCATCTTCATTTGAATGGGACGATTCATAGCCTTCTACAATATGTAAACATAGACGATTTATCATTTGGGTAGGTCATGGAACAAGATTTAAAATAAAGTAGATTTGGAATAGCTTAGATACAAAAATTAAAACGCATATTTAAACAAATAATTTTCAGGATTTTTTTTTTTTTAGAATTTAGAAAAGTGGAGATGATACCATTGTGATAAGCGTGTAGGTTTGGCGCAGATACACTTTCAGAAATTTCTTTTACGGGGCTCAGTTTTGGTTTGGATTCGTTCAGCTTCGCTTTGCTCGTATGTCGCTTTATGTATTTGCCCCTGACGTGTTGATGTTTATGTTTCTTTAATAAGAGCGCCCTTAAATGGTTCCACAGCAGGTTACTGACAGATCCCTCGTTCTTCCACTCTTCTAAGACTTTATCTGCAAACAGTAAGTAAGTATATATAAATAATAAAAAGAACAGTTGATAAGAAAGCTTATAGGCACAATACCAGAAAACTGCCTTCATGGAATATAGAGTTACGTGAGGCGCCTTTACACTCAAGGAGATTTGAGGTGCCTTTTGGGCAACCAATAGCTCAGCGATTTCCAAAAGCCTCGAATAGTCTGTCTCTGTATGAATCTTTTAGGAAGATCAAAAAGCGCTTGTTGTGTGATGAAAACTTGAGAATAATGCCATATTTCATGGTGATCTGTCTAGATTTCTTAGCTATCTCGCTCTTAAAGAGCGCACACTGAAAGATCCTTTGGAAATGATTTTACATTGCTTTCTGTAGTGACCTCTGAGATTTTGCCAAGCAATTGTTTTTTGACCCATCGAGATCATTGAAAGATGTACGGAAATTGTTGAGAGATATGGTGTGACCAAGAGAGATCACCCTAAGACCGAAAAAAGACCACTGAGAACTCCTTAGTCGTAAAAAAAATGTGTTCTTGAAAGACCTCTAAGAGAGCACTGGAAGATCACTGGAAGATCGGTAATCTTTCTGTGCTCTTGGGCGTTCTTTGAAAAATTAGTTTCCTTTGCGATCGTTGAGAGAATGTTTTGGATAGAACACAAACTTTGAAGAGACCTTAGCGGTCATTGAGAGATCTGGCCAATTTTCCGAAGGTCAGCTATATATCCCAATGGTCGAAAAGCGTGAAAAGGGTTTAAGTTAATAAAGAAAGGGGCATCTTTTGCGCATTATGGAAATACTACATCACTGGAAAAGCTTTAAATTACACACTTCAAATTAATAAGCATACATATAGCACTGCTGGATCGAATCCTTACCCACGATGTCGTACATAGACAGGGCCTCCATGTCCAGGATGCATGTGTTAGAGGCAAGCAGTGTGTGCAGCTCCGTCAGGGATTGCATGTACATGGAGGAAACGTGGGGCTTGGACCATCGCTTGCCCTTTTCTTCCAGTACCTCTTCAAACTTGACCCATCTGCAAAGGTTAACATTTGTTCAATCATTTAAACAAATATTCAAGGGGGGATGTGTGTGGGTATATGCTTCTCTTATCCGAAAATATTTCATTAATTCCTTTGCAAATACGGGGATACTGTTTGATAGCACGAATATACTTTGGGTTGATTTTTTTTCACACGTCATTACTTAATTGGGAATGATACAGTATTATACATGTGTATCTTGTAAAGAAATCTGTTTTGCAAAATGAGGACTGAGAAGAAATACTAATTACATGTTACATTTCAAATAGTTTGAAATGATATACATGTTTATTGTTGAAAATAAAATTTTATATGAATATATTAAATATATATCTAAATACTTTATTTTAATACTTTATGTCGCACATTCTTTAAATGTATGTTTTAAAGAAATCAAGATGAAAACTTGTATTTGCGAGGATGCATGACTGAAAATATGCGTACCAAAAAAATATCAGTCGATAAAATGATAGCATTCTGACTTCATGTTTCCTTTCGTGCTTTAGTTCTTAATTTTTGAAATTGTTTTCTAAAAAAAAAAGTAATGAAAAATGTTGACTGATTATATGTTGTAATTTGGGTAAAAAAAGTGAAAATAGTTGAGATTTGTCAAGAAAATGAATTGCTTCAAGGTTTAGGTGAATGAGTGATAGCATTCTGTTATTCATGTTTGATGAGCTTGAGGGACCTTGACCAGTGATACGGCCACTGGTATTTAACACCAGAGGTGGGAACTTGATCTTCTGAAGCAAAAGGGGAAAACCTAAAAATCTTTGAATTTGTTTAGACCGTGTTTAGTAAACTTTTTCGACAGCATCTGCATTTCGGTATTGATGCGTGTATTTTGTATTGAATCTCTTGAAATAATAAAAAAAAATCTTGACAAATAATAGGGCAAACTTCAGGGGTCTATTTGTTTCGATGTCCACACCTCTGATGTCCGGGTCAGTTGGTATTTGTTCTGTCATTGCACGTAATTCATCGTAATATTTTTTATAGAGCAAACTGTCTCATGAAATAGATGGGTGACATTTTGGCTACACATTACTTTCCTTTTAGTTATATGCGAGTATCCTGCTTTTCTTTTTACATCAGAAAATTTGATGAAGTTCTAAAATATCAAACAAAAAAAGCCTGCAAAAAAAAATTTCATTTCGAGCATTGGTGATCGTTTATATATATATAGCGTTCAAAACGAGTAATTTTCAATTCTGCGAAACTGTGTCCTTAAAAAAACTTAAACCCTTAACATATACGCTTGTAAATGTAAAGGGTGATTATTCTTTAAAGAAAATAAGCGTTTGGTTTGATGCCATACAGGCTAACATATATAATAATTTTGGAAATACTGTATTGTATCGTAATGCATTCAATCCAAATTTTGTAAAGAAAAGGAACTTTCAATTTCTTCAATATGATTATAGAAAGATGAAACCATTTATATAATTATATCAAGTAATATTTTACATGTAAAGTGTAAATGAGTGAGTTACGCACTATGCAATGACTAATATTTGTACATATGTACTCATGGCCACAAAAATACTCATGACCACGTGAATACAGGAGCCACAACTGATGATGAATATAAGCTAATTATTGTCGTTTGGGTCAAGTAAGGTCGTCGGATATGACTAACAACAAGAAACGAGCATTTAATAAAAGGATCATTGCACACCTTGATGTGCAATTAGGAATAATGACGCATATGATAATTAAGATTCATTTAAATGTGTGAAAGTTTAAAGTTTTATGCAATGTTAAGCTTAAAAGGGCAGGGAAATTTAAATATTCAATCTACAATGTGCTCATTATTTGGACATTCACAGCAGAAGATGAAAGGAGGGACGCACCCAGCGCCCGATCCTCCAAAAATTTGCAAAAAGTTTTAGTTTCAATTGAGCATTCAATACATTAAGACTTAATTATATAAAATAATAACAAAATATTTTTTTTTAAATGTCAACGATAACATTGTGCTACGTGCACAGTTTTGAGTGATTATTTTGATGCAGCAAATGTAATTTTGTGATTGAAGACAGATCTTTAGAACTGTGTAACGAAGCGGAACGACAATCAGTTGCTGACAATTAATCAACAAATTGCAGGCATGTCTGCAATGAATTTCGAAGCCAGCGACCTGCCATTGACTGGTAATCAATTAACAGGGTCTGTAAAATCAAGATAAAAAAAAAATTGTACGTATAGAAAACTTTCAGAGATAGACAAAGTAATGCTGAAAGTGAAAAATAAAAATAAATAGAACATGTCAAAATTCTTCCCATGATATATTTAAGGAAAATATCCGAATGTACAGTTCTAGAAATGAAGCATGAAATTTAAATATATGATAAACAAATTGCAAAAGTAGGAAACAGGGACATCAGAAAAGGTATTAATATTTATTGATATTTTTAGAAATGTTTTCCCTACCGATGAAGTTCTTTCCACACGTAATCATCGTTGTACTGCCGTAGTATATCCATCTGACAGAATATGTCCCTCGGTTCGTGACTATCCATAACAATAACTTCATATCCACCCGGCGAAGAATTATCACTGCAAGAGTTCGAGTCGCTTTCTTGTTGTTCCTCCATTTTGTTTGCTTGCCTTTATTTCTACAGACAAATGTAAAACTGTTTCCTATATGAATTGTTTTGATTTATCAGTTTTTAAACAAACACATATCGTTGGAAAATGTCTAAACATAAATGACCACATAATCAAAAAGGAATGTTTGAGAATTAATTGCTGTTAAACAAAAAATACAAAAAAGTGGTGAAGACATTATAGGTTATATTTTAATTAATTAATATAACGCTGTTGAAGGAAATTTAACACCCCCCAAAAAATTACCTCTATAAAGTTTAAGCTGTATCTAATAGATAAAAATGCAACAATGTGTGGTTAATTTCAAAGTTCCGATGTAAGCACTTTCTAAAGGAAAAGAACATCCATTTGTTAATGTAGAAATGTGAAATACAAGTCCACTTTGTGACGCGATGTTAGGTAAATGATCAACTCAGGTGTTTCATTTTGTTTATATACCTGGTTAGAGAAAGAAAAAGGTCCACACAAACTTCAAAATTAAGGATCTTTGAACATATTTGTAAAACCATCAATCACTGTTCAGCCAATTGTTGACGATCTCAAAAAGACTTAGAAATGTCGCTATAAGACGTTCTATAGACACGTGTGTTTTTGTTGTGTTTTTCTGTTTTCCGTATTGACACCTATCGTCATGGTTTTTTTCCTTCTTTCTCTAAACATGTAAATCATCATGATGTTGTGTCAGAAATGGTCACTTAATGAGATAACAACAAGTAATCAAGGGTGAGGACAACTCTAGTTTTATATTGCTTTATTATCATTATTTTTATTTAGTTCTTATTATTTTCCCCCACAAGAATCCAGATTTATCGATACATCAATCTTCGTGGAAAAACTTTACAAATTTCGCCCAAAACTTTCCAAAGTTGCACATGAATATTGAGTTATTTCACAATAAAATGATGAATTATCAATTAATTTATGACTTCTTTTTTTCATTTCATGTAAACTTTTGTGGAAAAAACTTTCAAATGTTGATTTCTGATTAGTTTTTAAAATTTAATAAGAATCTCCAGGTATTTACTAAAAGACAGCAAAGTATTTTTCAAATGGTTTATTACAAGCTGAGTGCTACATAGTAATTTTACACTTTTCTTGGAAGATAATCTTGTGGAGACGGCACTCTGTGATGAACAAAAAAAAATTGAAATAAAAAAAAAATAACCTTTCCCAGTTCAAAATAAAGTTGATGAACGTGCTTTTCATTTCCTTTGCAATTGTAATCTCTGAATTGTTGAAATGTCAGCATGAAGGAATTTTTATCCCCTCACCTGCTGAATTATTATTAATTAATTAAAAGACATGCTTCACGGCCAGTGATAATCGTGTAACAAATGTGTTTTGTAATATCTGTGACGAAGACATGGTTTCATGAAGTAGAACATGATGTATATTCCCACCCTACCTAACCTTGTAACCTAGCCTTAGAGTTATTCATTCACTAATACATGTACATGTATTATTAAGAGGGTTTTGTGACGTCATTACATTGTCCAGATTGATGAGTGACACAGTTAACGAAGAATTTGCAGGATCGTCTTCCCATCCCCACCCCCTATCTCTCTCTCTCTCTCACTCATATATTATTGCAGCTTATAAAGCATGCATGTAAAAAAAATTTCAGGTAATTCCTTTTCCTTTGAGGCAAAAATATTCCAGACTGCCGCCCTTTTAGACGGAAGAACGCAGAAAATCTTTATGTGGTGATAGCAGTGATTAACACCATTGTCATTATTTGAAGTTAATTTCCAATTCACACAGGAACCAATGTTATTGCACTTTCTTCGTTGTAAAAGTCTCTCAGACATTGAGGGAATGATAGAAAAAAAAAACGCTCTCATTTTTACAGCCTAGTGATGTGTTCTTATTGGAAGTTTGAATTATTAAAGGCGCGCAATATAAGAGGAAAAATTACATGACAAAATACTACGAAGACCTCACACTTAGAATTTGACTATTTGAGATTAAATAAAGAGGGATATCTACCCACTACCTGGTCACTGCCATGTTTTGATTTTGTTATTATATTTTTTAAATTTACTTTTCAAGTTTTGTATCTACTAGTACATTTAGCCAGTTAAAACCTAATGACATTATATAATTTATAAAATTTATACTAAATTAATATTTTAATATTTACAATTTTCTTTTCAACAGATTACCGTGACAGTATAATATAATTTTGCAAATTACCAATGATAAGGTAAATAAATTTACGAGTTTCATTTTCATTGAAAAAGCAGCTGTTTATGATGTTAAAAAGCCTGGACTTTAATTTACCTTCGGGAATGATTGTAATAAGTGTTGAAAAGTCTTTACGTTTTGATGTATTGATTTTGGTAACATTTTATGATTTCAGATTTTCTAAAGTTGCTTGGAGTTTTAAAGTGTTCACATCTGATTAAAGCCCAGTTTACACGCTCTGCTTTTGCAGCTGCTTTGAAGCAGAGCTGCAAAAGAAGAGCGTGTAAACAAGGGTTTAATTGCACTGCATGCCTGCAAGCAGACAAAGAACAAGTTCTATTTTAGTCTGCAAAGCAGATATGAAATTATATGGTTAAAAAGTGAGAGCAGGCATGGTTAGCAGATGGTAGGAACTCTCTGTCTGCTTTGCAGAGTAAAGTGAAAAGCAAAAAGCAGAGCGTGAAAACCGGGCTTAACACCACTTATCGAATATATTGTTGTACAGTACTCCTGTTGTACAGTTTTTCCTTCACTGCTGTATATATTTTAGTGTGAAGTAAATAAAGACTTGGTAAAACATTAACTGGAACCAGCTATGTAACTTTGTCTGTAAAGAGTTTTATGTAGCTTAGGAATTCAGTATAAGTATGGTGATTCAAATTCAGTTCGATTGCTGAGAATATTACATATATTGTAAACTGACTTATGATTTTAAAGAATTTCTTCCTAAGAAAAGGAGCTATGGGTATAAGTTGGATTATCATTGGTTATTCCAATGTTAAAGTAGTCTTTTCTAACTTTTAAGTTGGTTCCTAGTTTAATGTTGGCTTTTCCAACCATAATCTTTAAGGTAACTTTAAAGTTGGTGATTGTGTTACGGTTTTAGAATTCAGAAAATTTTAAGCTAACTATAACAATCTAACAGGGGCCCTTTCACAAACGAACTTAGACTAAGACCAAAATTTAATTCTGCATATAACTTTCTAATTAAAATTATATTGAAAATGGTTTTAATCTTTATAAAAGGAATGTAGTACTTTAAAGATATTTTTACACTAGCAATTTTAAACAGAATCGATAATTTTGCAAAATCTAGATTGTTATAGTTAGATTTAAATTCTCTGAATTCTAAAACTTTAACGTAACAATTGTACCTTTAAAATTGGTTAAACCAACCATAAGTTCGCTTTTCTAACTCTAATATTAGCTTTTAAAACTTTATTTTTGGAAAAGCTAACTCTCTGAAGCTGAAATTACCAACTTTGAAATTGGTATAACCAACATTAAATAGGAAATTACCAACTTTAAAGTATCAACTCTCAAGAAAGAAAAGTCAATTCTAAAGTTGGATTAACCAACTTTTAAAGTTGCAAAAGCCAAGACTAATGTTGATATAGCCAATTTAATGTTAGAATTACAAAGAGAGAAAAAAATATTACGTGGCACTAATGCGCCTCTTTACTGCTTAGTTTAAATACTCAGCATTAATTAAGAGGTGGTATAAAGGCAGTCTAAAAAGAATAAACATAGGAGTCACTTTCCCTATATACATGTAGGTAATATGATGTATATGAGGTAATAAAGTACATAGACTTTGTTTTGGGAAGGTAATAGATAATTTCACTTATCATAACAAGCTAACTCTCTGTATGTTAGTGTCTCCCTGTAAAGAAATATATATATCTTTTTGTTGCAGGCTCGTAGAAAGCAATTTCAGTTCGGGGGGGGGGGGGCACAGCCATAAGTTTTCAGTAAGGGGGGGGGGTGCACTATCAACTACCAAAATTCCTTGACAAGCCAAAAAAAAGGTCGTCAGACGTTTTTATTGAGGGGGCACAAGCATATAGTAGCTATGTTTTCTATAGTAATATATATATTAGTGTAATATTAGTATTATATATATATATATATATATATATATATATATATATATATATATATATATATATATCTGCATGCCCCCCCCCCCAATAATTTTGCCGATATATCCCCCCCCCCTCCTACGGCCATGCGTTGGTATAACATTATGTCGATCTTTTTATAACGATCTATTTTTTTTCTCTCAAATAACGAGTAAGTTTTGTCATGATAACAATTTCATATCTTATAACAGTGAGTTAAGATATCTCGTTAACGAATAATGTTCTGATATGGAATTGTTTTCTTAGAACAAGTTATTTATCTTATTAACGAGGAAACTTGAATGTTTTAACAGGGCAACTACTTTGACGTCACTGATTTTTGTGGGAGTTTAATTTTCGTTGTTTTCATGGTATGGAGAGACCCAAAAATCAAACGAAATGTAAAAATTCAAATATATAACAACTCAGAGCATTTCTTTAACTTTGAAATAAAATCCCCACGAACATTTTTTTTTCTCAAACCACAAAACTTTGACTCCATGAAAACCTATTTTACAGTAACTCGTTATTACAAATTTGAAGGTGATTACATTCAGATGCAATTAAAAACCTACGTTCGGGCATTACTGTATTAATTATGACAACATCTAGTTTAAAAAGTTATAACGAGTTACTTTTTATAACAAAATAGCTAAAATTAATTACAATCAGATAGTTGTCTCGTTTTAATGACTTAAAATATTTTTAATCGCGAAATATGAGTCAATCGAGCTTTTTTTATAAACAGAGTTCGAGGTAAAATATTACAGACAGACCCTCTCCCTTAAAAAAAATTGAAATCAGTATATGCCGAAATTGTATATAAACTGTAAGTTACGGCAGCAGCATTCCCAATGATAAGGAAAAAAATACGAAAATATAGTTCTTGATCAGTCCTCTATAGCTAAACTGGATTTTCTGGCGGAAAACCTAGCATAAAGTGTTTAAAGAGCATTACTATTAAAGATTTTCATCATCAAAAAAGTAAATTAAGTGTACTGTGATGCATAAATTATTCATAATTTCTCAATATATTGACTAAGTCAGGGTTTCTTTGTAGATGTTGTAGAGTTCAAGATTGGAATTATTAAAAAAGTACTTCTTAATCAATTTATTAGAATGCTCTAAATAGTGTTGTATTTGGAGTTACACAATTTTTATTCACCTAAATTTTCCCGATCTTTACAACAGCAGACGAAGACAGATAGCGATAATAAAACATTATGCACCTTGACAATACGGAACTGATTTTGGGAGAAGAATTAATTAAGCTAATATCATCCATCTTGATGTTT